ATATACCACCTAAAAAGATTAATAAGTAAAAATGTGAAAGCTAGCCAACATATAAATCCCAGCTTTTTTCTTTGCAAGATGCTCAAGTTTCCAAGTTAATTTGGTTATGAAAGCTTTTAAACACAAATTATGTCAATTACCTATACTAAATATTTGGGTTGCAATAACAAAAAAAGAGTTAATTATTATGTTACTTTTAGTCTTCTAAAGTCATGCTAATGACAACACTAATCAAAGATTGCAGGCACTTAACCTTTTCAGTCCTTGTCTGTTGTAGGTGGATTTCATTGAGCAATAAGATTTATAGCTTTATCATGATGCAATGTGCATGAGCCTGAATTCACTCAGTTGCTAATGAAATGTGATTTGGGGACTCTTGCTCCACCTGAGTAATAATCAGGGCTCATCACAGATAGGTCTAGGAAAGGGCTGGGAAATAGTTAAGCTTGTTTTGCAGTTACTTTGAGCTCTTAGGAAAGGAGTGATTCTTCTACAATATCAGCCTGAAGTTTTCTGCCTATACAAGAGAGGTAATGATAAGGTCTTTAACTTATTTACAAGTGATATGGTTATACGAAGCCCGACAACAAGACTGCTTTAATAAATCTTTTAAATTTAGTGCCTTTAAAAGCGTGAGATGGGTAGTTTGCCTTCTCAGGCAGCTCGAGTAACATGTTAATTAAGCGACTGGCTTCAGAGAAAGCTTGCAGAACTTGCTCTATGTAATGCCTGTTAACTTGAAATTCTGCTTTTGATAGTTGCCTGCCAGCACAACAAACAACTCTGCGTAGGTTTCCTAAAGCAAAAAGAAGATCCTAAAGGTAGTTCCTCCTTATGGGGAAAACAAGGCATTGCATTCCTCTCTCCTTGATGAAGATTATAATGGCTCCATATTAACTACAAGCAGAAGGGCCTCTCAGGCACCTAAGTTATGAATAATCTTTAAAATAATCAGGGTAGTAAGAAGGTAATTCCTACCCTCATAAAAATAAAAACTTTAAAAGCAGCTAAAGGTAGAAGCTAGACTGTGACTTGTAAGGTGTCTTGTCTGTATGTGCTATCAGCTGGAAAAAAGAAAAAAAAATATCTAGATGAGTAGTAAAATACCTGTCTCCTTAATGCAGACTGTAACTCAGCTGCAGAGCAGAGTCCTGCTTAAAGTCCTTCTCTCTCCAGGGAACTGCTCCTCTTTCTTTCCTTGGTAAGGGTGGTCTCAGGCTCCTCTTAAAGGAGAACTGCTGCCTGGGAACTGAAAACTACGCAACAGCTTTTAAAAATTAGTAATTTTCCTGAATCGCAAGACTTTATATTTGGTGATTATAAGATGGAGGAGTTTTTCAAAATGGACTTCAAATACACCAAAGTGCTCTAGAGAAAGCTTTCCCCCATGTTGATTTTATGTAGTTTTTACTGTAAAATTCATACAGTTCTGATTCTTTTGTAGCTTAAAGGAACACTTTTTGAGGGATTTTGTATTTTCCATGAACATTCTTAATTCAGATCAAATTCAGGCATTTTTGTAAAAGAAAGCCATTTCCTTTTACATTGAACCGAAGGCTTGTATATCTAAATTTCCACTGCAAATGGACAGTGGGTTCCTTTTTTTATCGAAAAAAGGTTTTCACTCATCTCCCAGAATATTTTAATGATATTTACACCGTGTGTTTATGTGTGTGTGTGAGGGGGGTTTCTGTTGTGTGGGTGTGGTGGTTTTTTTGTGGGTGGATTATTTTCTTTCCCTGATTAGTGTACGTGGTGGTAGGACTGTGGATCTGAAGAGCTTTTAACATCAAGGTGCTAGGAAGCATTTCAGTGCAGTCCAGCCTTCCTAGCACTTTGGAGTACTGCTTGCTTTAGAGATGCAAGTACACAGTGCGAGTCAGGGATGAGGAGTCATCCAGAGAATTGATAGGTCAGCAAACCTCAGTCTTACAGATCAGGTCCTACTTCTTTCTTAATGATGTTATCTACTTATCACACTCCCTTTGAAATTATTTCATTCTGTATTTGATTTAGGGAGAGAAAAAAATCATCATGAGACCTGCTCCTAATACAGGTCCTTTATGTGTCAGGGTTCTGCCCCCATTAACCAAGGACTAGATGCAGAAGTGGGTTTGGTTTTTTGTTGTTGTGTTTTTTGTTTTGTTTCCTAGTGCCACGATCCAACTGGCGTTCATAGAACTAATCCACACAGAGGGCTCCTCGGCCCTTTCTGAGGCGCTAGCCCAGACTAACACCGTACCTGATGCAGATGCTGGGGCTGCACTGAGCGCTCCTCAGTGGGGCTGGACCAGGTTACAGAAATACGTGGTGGCTGCTTTCCTTTGGGCCTGTACAGGAGGCTGCAGTGCCTCTGTTCCGTGGGCTGTTTGCCCACACTGTGGGACGAGGCTCAGTGCTCTCCAGAGCCTGAGGAGACTCAAGGCCGTGCTCCTGATGTCTGGAGCTGGCTGAGGACACTGTCCATCTTTCCTTCCTGCTGAGCATAAGCCACTGCACAGAAACAAATCCCAAATTTGTGAGGCCGGAAAGAGGAAGAAAGAGAAGACTTTGGCATAAGTTAGCTATTATTCTGTGGAACAAGTCTGATGTTTGTGCTCCAGAAATCTTGTGATTTATGTTCAAGTGCCCCTGGGGTTAAAACACTGGAGAGTAGATGTGGGAATCTAGCCCACAGTCCTGAGTCAAGAGCAATAAATCTAAGCTGTCCCGCACACTGGTAACTTCTCTGCTGTCTGAAGCTTCTTGGCTCTTCTCAATATATAGATCATCTCCTCTGCGTACCCTTATCCTGACTTCAAAGGAAAGCCTACTCAGCTCTAAGAGCAAAGAGCCCTTGCTGTGGATGGGGAAAGGAAAATTGCTTGCTGAGCACAGCTGGGGCATGAACATGGTCAAGCGGCTCGAGGACAGCCCCCCTGCTCACTAACTGGTTAGCCAGTAGGTCTGCATATGGTTTTAGCTGGCAGAAAATGTGCTGGCAACATGAGGTAGCTCAGCCATCAAGGAAAGAGGTGGAGATGGGGATTGCAGTCAAAAAGATTTTATTAAACTTCCATTTTCTTTTCAGCAGATGGAGATCCTGACTCTTCACTAGAGTATGTCCCTGTCCCACCACAGACACATCCACACGCATATACACAGACAGTGTGCCATACATTCCCTTGCTAGGGCTTGACTGACAGCAAGAACAGGATTTATCTTCTGGGAGACTTGGTTGAACACAAGTTCGAGGTCCTGTGCTTTTCTGCCTGCAGAAGGGAATATTGTTTGCCTAGTCATGCGGTGAGCTATGCCACCCTGCTAACGCGTGACAGTTGGGTGCCCTGCAGCTAAGCCTCTTTTGAAGATGAGGGCAGAGGAGAAGCGAAAGAATAAAACAGTAATAACAACAAAAAGAATTTGCTTCTTCCTCAAGGCTTTTGTGAAAAAGCATAGAAATGCTCTTCTTACAGTCTAAGCAGTCAAGGAACTGACTGACATTCCCAAAGCTTCTCCCTTACTATGGTTAAATTTAACTCTCTTGGAACAGAACAGAAGAATTTGGGTTAGATGGCACCTCTGGAAGCCATCTGGTCCAGCCCTTGCTGATGACACCAGTAATCTCAAAGCAAGGTCAGGCTGCTCAGGCTCTTGTCCAGTTCAAGTACAGAGACATGACCTCCTCCCTGGGCAGCCTCCCCCAGTGTTCCCCCGTGTGAAATTTAGGTCAGTGCGGTGTTACTGCCTTCAGGGTTTCCAGCCTCAGACCGGCAGGTTTACCTTTGGTTTCCGTTATCCAAAAGGTGGTGCTTCCCCTGTGAGATGCAAATTTAATTATGGCTCAACTACTAGGCTGCTGCAGATAGGTTTTGTTCCTTTAGCTAGGATTTCTGATGAAGGTCACCAATTGTCTGGGCTTGAGCAAGATGCCCCTCAGCAGTGGGTGCCAGTGCTGGCAGTGCCATAACATGCCATCCCACTACTCACCCACCTCCTGATCCAGTGGCTGCGCCAGCGCTATTTGGCTGCACGCTGCATGGTTGTCTTCAAAACAATCTGGCTAGAGGCTGCAGTATCAAATACTAATATAGGATTTTAACATGCCTCAAAGAAGGGAATTGGAATGTGGCTTTACTGAAACGTACCTCAGGTTTTTTTCTTCTCCCCCCACTCTTTACAAATAAGAAACAGTTAGGACAGTTGGACTGATTAAAATTATTTAAATTCTAGATAATGCGTTAGGAATTGGTTATTGCCAGAAGCCCTGTTTCTACAGGGGAGGAGAGCACTAAGGAGGAAGATGTTCTGCTACAAATGTTCCCTGGTGATTTATCGTGGTGGAACAAGCAGGCACAGCCCTAAGCACCCTGTGCTGGGTGAAGGCAGTGCCAGACAAGATGGAGTATCCTGTGCCCCAGTTTTGCTAGGCCTTTGGCCACAGCGGCCAGCAGTAAAATCTTGAAAAGCAAGCTAAAAGGTGCTCAAACACCTCTTGTGGCTTTGCCACACAAGGAGATAGTTTCCTCTGTTTCACGTACTGTTATGAACTAAGCTGAAGGTTTCTTGCCCAGTTTGTGTCCTGAGCTTTACTTTTGAAGGCAGGCAGTGCTGACTTCAGATCTTACCTGGCTGGCGGTGAATAAAAACAGGTACTTCAGGCAGACCTAGACATGCAAGTTAGCTGTGCTGTCTTCTGCAAAGAGGGTTGTTATGAACTTTATGTAACCCATTTTCCTAGACACCTTCTGTGCGTTTTTACACAAGAGGACCTGATTATTTCAGGTGTAATCATTGTACTTTAAGATTAGGTAATCTTTGATATCTATTGATACCTTCCCATTGCCAGGTGCAGGTTAAGCATTTTACATTAATCTATTCAGTGAGACTCGTGCAGCAGCGCAGCCCGGCAAATTACCTGCTTTATGCCTGCCCGTGAGCACTAAGAAAGGTTCACCACAGCTCACCTCCCTTCTGTTTGCTGGACAGCACTTCTCTTTCTGACAGTGGTTCAGCTCCTGATGGAAGAGAAAAAGGTCATCCGAGAGATCCCAGCGGTCCTAAAGCGTCTGGCCAAATTTATAGTGCGCGGTTTCTATGAAGCCGAGTACTCCCTGGCCCTCGATATACTGATCCGCTACCCCTGCGTGAAAGAGGATGACTTGTTACAGTTGCTCAAGTATGAGCGTAAGCAGCTGCGTACCATCCTCAACACACTCAAGGCAGACAAGCTTGTGAAGCTGCGTATGCGAGTTGAAACAGGACCTAACGGGAAGAGCACGAGGCACAATTACTATTACATCAACTACAAGGTGCTGGTGGATGTGGTAAAATACAAACTGGATCACGTACGCCGGAAAATAGAAGCGGATGAGCGGGATTCAACTACCAGGTCCTCTTTTAAATGTCCGTCTTGTTCCAGCACTTACACGGACCTGGAAGTCAAACAGCTCTTTGATGTATTTACAGGTATGTTACTGTTATTGTTTGTTTGCTCTTCTCGTACAGAATGACTGTGGTAGCACAAAAGTGGCTCCAGCATGAACTTTGCAACAAAAGCATGTTTGTTAGGATATACTTCTTGTTTGCTGGTGGACAAAGGCCTGCAATAGGAGAAGCTGGGAGGTGAAGGTAGGAGAGAAAGCTGTACCTGTAGGCCGGGCCAAGCGAGAGGAAGAGGATTGAGTGTATGAGCTGGGGTTGGGAATCGGATGTCAGCCACAGCTTTGCTATGAACAAGATGCTTCACCTGTTTTAAGATTACACATCCAAGTCTTGTGGGTCCCACTTCCTCATACGAACGTGAGAATGCAGTACTCACTCCGTTCTGAAGGTGTTAGTTAATCCATTTGTGTGTTCGATTCTTCTGGTGGGAGAGCTGGACGAGATGGATAGCGCGGTTTGCAGCCCCCCGCTGTCCCGGGCGCGCTGCAGCCCAGCAGCCGAGGGGGGGGGGTCCGTCAGCCCTGGGCGGGAAACGGGCAAGGTCGCTCCTCGCAGGGCAACACGACACATCCAGGCACAAGTGGCATCAGAGCTTGTGCGTGTCTTTTCTCTAAGGTCAAAATAACTAAATAGAGAGTGCTCTTTCAAAATGAGTTAGTGACATCATATTGTAGTAAGTTAATCCAAGTGCAGCAACTGTGTTAGCATCTGGGTCACAGGACCTGGGAAGGAGGCCAAAGCCAGGAAGAATGAACTTTGTATGACTGGCTTGAAATGTCAAAGGTGAAATTAGTGTTCTGTCAGCAAAATCATCCCTTGTTCTAAATGCAGGGAGTTTTGTCAAGTTACTGAAATGCAAACATTAAGGCTGGTGAAAGATTTTAATAAAATATGCTTTAATTGTTTTTTTTTTTTGGCTTATGACATAAATACAGGTTTTTAGCATATGTGTTGACTCTAAATGAGTCTTTTTGAACTTCAGAACTCTGAACAAGTAAAATAAGATGCTATTTATGCTTGCAAATGTCTTTTTTCTTATGAACTAAGACATGAGATCAGAGAAGAAAAAAAAAAAACCTTACTATCTGATGATACTTCATGTTTAGTCAACTTTTTCCCCCAATATAGACATTTCTGTCTTGCATAACAAGTATGTGAATATCAGTCCTCCTCAAAGAAAAAAAAAAAAAAAATGGCTTGCCTTTATAACTTGAGTTCCCCTAGTTAATGTGAACAGATAAAGTCAGAATATTTTAGTAATTGTCCAGGCTGTGGATTTCTTGGCAAGGTACTGCTGCTCAGTTGTGTCCTGTGACCATGAGAATTTCCAATTTGGATAACGTTGCAGAGACTTTCCGCTGTACTTACTGCAACACTGAAGTAGAGGAAGATGCCTCCACGCTTCCCAAGCGCGATGCTCGAACCTTGCTAGCAAAATTCAATGAGCAGATTGAACCTATCTTTGTGCTGCTGCGTGAGACTGAAGATATTGTTCTGCCGTATGACTTGCTGGAGCCTGAGCCAACAGAAATACCAGAATTATCAGAAAGGTATAAACATAATCCTAGAACTTCTGAGCCATACAAATCCTCCAACAACTTTCTAGTTGCAAAATCTTTCAAATTGCAGCTTACTTCCTACTCCATTCTGCTTTGTTCAGTACTGTCAGCTGCTTAATGAAGATGCCTGTATCATCTAAGGCATTCTAAGTTAGTTACTCACTTATAATTTTTTGCTACCTTTAAATAATTGATTTTTGACTTCTCCTTCAGCTAATGTTCATAGCCCTTTCTGTGAAAAAGTAACATTTCCCTGTCAGTGTGCTTCATCCAGAGATGTGCTACTGAAGAGACCATGCAAAAATCAGTGGCTCAGAACTATTTGCCTCTGGGATGAAATAACGGGGAATACAATTTGTTTTAATATAGAACACTTGTTAAAGCTAGTCTGCTGACAAAACATGCTTTTTCTGATTGGGTTTTTGGTGGTTGTTTTTTGGGGGGTTGTTTGTTTGTTTGTTTCGAATGGGAACTTGGGGGTTCTTGCCTGAATTTAGCCTGTCTAAAATGGGTGACATTTCATTCAGCTTTGATCAGAAGGTGGGTTCAAGTGTGCTGGAATCCCGCAGCCAACCTGAAAAGTGGGCCAACAGAAGTTCTTCTTTTGGCAATCTGTACACCCAACACCTAGTTATCGATGTCCAAGACTCTGAGCCCAAGAAGAAAACAAGAGAAAAGCCAACTAAAGAGCAGCCTACCTGGCTGTCACAGAGCACCGTGGAAGGAGCAACAACAGCCACCAACAACAGTGTTGGTAAGTTTTGAGTGTTAGCAAATACTTAAATTCAGCTGCCTTACTGCATTTAAATGTGGGTTACCTATTGCAGGTGTTGTGAGCTTGATTTAGAATATAGAGGAATGCTTTAGTTCTGCACTAGTGCCTATCAGATCTTTGTTTCTAAAAATCCACCTTTAGATTTAGGTAGTGTTCCTAAAGCCAGAGGTCAGGTACCAGGTCCTGAAAATTCTGGCTCTAGTTACGGCGCAGTAACATTAGTGGTAACCTTTAAAGTGGAAAGCACTTGGAAATGCCTGTCCTTTCAAAAGAATTCTGAAGTGCACGTAGAAAAGATCCAGAGTAGAAAAAATCATTTATGTAGGATGCCTAGGGTAACTGTAAACTACTGCTATCTCTAACACTTAGTATTGTGTATTAGGAGTAAATGCTTCTGAAGAAAGTGTTAAAGAAACTGTCACTGATAATGACATCATCAAGACTCTTCTGATCCATGAATCCAAGTCGTCGTTTAGCACAGACCAGGCTCCTGCTGTCAAAAGCAAACTACCTGAATCAGGCAGCGATACCAGTGAGTCTGAAGAAGATGCCAAGGGCTCGAGAAAAACAGGAATGCAAGGAGCAGGCAGCAACTTTGAACAAGAGGAGGAACAGGAAATGCAAGGTCCTATTTTAATGGTAGCTGGTCAGCCTCGTTCATATAGTGAAGTTAGTGAAAATCCAGAGCTTGTGTCTCTCATGACAAAGGAAGAGAGAGAAGCTTATATAAAAGTGGGGCAAGAAATATTCCAGTCTGTCTTTGAATAAACACTACTGTATGAATATGCAAAGTTGTATAGAATGGGTGGTTTCTTTTGAAATAAGACAAGTTAGTCTAATAGTTTATGTTCTTTGAAGCTTACCACTGAAGGGTTTTGTTTGAGCTCCATGCTATTATGCAAACATTAATCCTGTAGTAGGTAACAACAATTCAAAATATTAGCGTTGCAGCAAAAGCAACCCGAAGTTAGTATGGGTTTTCTGTTGTCTTAATGCTTAGACTTGGTGAAGGCTGTAATTAGTTTTGGAGCACGAATCATTTCAGGATACATTGGGATCCGATTAAAATAAAGTTTCAAAAGCAATGTTGCAACTTATTGTAAGAAATCAATTATTCTGCCTTCCTCCCAGCTATAGCAGTTGTTTCCAGGAGTGAAAATGAGTCAAAATCCAACATGACTTGGTTTCACTCCATAGCAGTGCACTTTATTCTTTTGTTAGGTCACTCACTATACAACAGTAAGACAGGGGTTAGAGGCAGGTTGCTCTCTAAGGGAAGAGCTGTTACTAAATCATGTTAACTATAGCAGAGAACCAGCTCTGGCCTCTTAACTTTCATCTTAAAAGTAATTATCTGAATTCCTTGTACTCATTGCTCCACAGAACTGTCTCTACAGTAAACTGTGCAATGGCTACTGGACAGTAAAATATTCATTTTACTCCAGATGGGTGAGCAAGTGATGTATCAAGCAGAAGAGTCTGCTTCTCATATGATTCACATACTCTCTTGAGATCTTTTTAAGCAAGCTCTCCTCTATTCCCACTGGAAAAAAACACTTTCTACTTGAATAGGAGTAGAAGGACGGGCATCAGAATAGAAGAGAGCATGACTAACGTCTTCAGCAATTCTACTACGTGAGCAATGGATGGTGAAAGTAGACTAGAAACACAGGAGGTTCCCTCTGACTGCTAGGAAATACCTTAAGGGTGACTGAGCTCTCGCACAGGTTGCCCGGAGAGGTTGTGCAGCCTCCCGCCTTGGAGACATTCAAAAGCCACCTGGGCATAGTCCTTGGCAGTGCGGTATCTGAGTGGCCCTGCCTGAGCAGGGGGGTTGGATGAGATGACCTCCAGCGGTCCCTGTCGACCTCAACCATTCTGTGAAGAAACAGTAGGAAGCATGGCCAAAGAAATACCATTCCAGGCCAGGAACTGGGAAATGGTGAGGGCTCGTGTTATTTCTTGAGCTTAAGAGTTTAATGATTTGCCATATAAACTAGATTTGTCTCAACTCTACACAAATTTTTTTGTTCTACTTTATGAAAAGGCCCTCTTTTAGATCTTCTGAATGACTCTCTAATTATTTCATGTTCACAGGTTTGCCTTTGTCTCAATCTATTTCATCTGTTCTCCAACCTGTAAAGTTTTTTCTGCATACACTATCACGGTGAGTTTAAAGTCTGCACCTTAACTAAACTGTCACACCTTCTGATGTACTTTTGTCTTTAGAGAGGCATGTGATTGTAATCTGCCAGTTCAAAATTCACTCATAAAACCCAGAGACAAACTAAAAAAAAGAAATTACAGAAGAATCACGCTAATTTTATTCAAACTTTAGGCATGTTTAGGTTCCCTGGCAGTAGACTGTCTCCCACGGCCTATAGCTGTATTGTTACACTAACTTCAAAAGGAAGACAGAAGGAAGTAAAGATGACCAATGCTTTTTAACTACTTTGAGAAAAGCCTCGTAAGGTAAACAGGATCTCTATAATGCAGCAGATATGCTGAATAAGCTATTTCTAGCTCAATTTTATGACTTACTGATGTTAGCAACTCTGATCCGAAAAAGTGAAGAAAATTTTTGTTCTGGTTCAAGTTTTCCTCTAGCTTTTCTACAACCCTAATTCTGCCTTCGCCATGAGAGTTCAGTAGGTACTGACCTGAACTGTTTTTTTTAAAACATTAACTGTAATTTCCTAAATTTCTTCCAGTCTATGTGAAAACTTCACAAAGTCAAATACTTTAGGAACAGATCCTACAGGCTTTCAGTTGCAAGTTTAAGCATTCTGTGTGAAAGGATACTAATGTTTTTGGACAGGTTTATCCCTTTGCACACTGTAAGTGCAAAACAAAAAATTCAGAAAAAGACGGAAGGCTTTTCTGCAGTTAACTACATACCCAGGATATTTACTTCACCTCAGATAAATGTGCTGATGGAAATTAACCCCACAGACCATGAACACAAACTTTTTTTTTTTTTAACAGACCAGCTACACTCAAAGCTATAAAAACAACATGTAGGTGTCTACACCTCACATTTGTAGAAGATGGGGAAACGTAGTGGGACAAGAGTTTCTTGTCCTAGGAAAATAGTTATGTTTCTCCAAAGAGGAATAACAAACTGCTAACAAGCATGCCAACACTTAGTCAGTTAACTTTCAACAAACTGCATACCATTTCATAAACCAGAGAAAAATTTTTCAAAAGACATATTTACAGACAAGTCCAAACTTTATTTGAAACTACCATTTTGAACAATTTTAAAATTACTAAACAAGTCACAATAAAAAATAAAAAAAGATTAAGACAGAAAAAGAACAGTGCAGCAAAACTGAATAGAAGAAGATTCAGTTACAGCTGTTCAGACTGCCACAGGCAGAAGTTAGCATACCTATCCTAAGAGGCAGCGTGTCAAAAATTTTACATTTTTATACACTTCCAGAATTCTGGGAAATTAGTGCTGATCTTCCAGATGCATTTGTATACGTGGGGTTTATAAATGCAGGTATCTTCAGGTTATTCTCATGCACTTTGAGCTCCAAAAGTTTCTGTAAAATAAGAATATACTCATTATTGTCTAGCAGCTACAAGGCAAACACAGCTCTTGACCACCTTTCAACTCCTTCTAAGTATCCATTAAAGCACCTTGATGAAATATTTCATCCTCAGCCTTTTTTTCCACAAAGATTTTAAGCCATGGCTTACTTGAACAGCCACAGCCATCTCCTGAACACAGGGTAAGAAGGAATTAGTTGCTAGCTACTGATTTTGTGTGGCATGGCATTCTTAGCCAGGCTGTTCCCACACCAGCCATACACATCAGTATTCGCCCAACTGACACAACAGACTGCTGCTAGCACAGCTACGACAAGCAGAATGGTGAGGGACAGTGAATGAAATGAAAGGTGCACCTTCCTTCACACTGTGTTCTTGAAAATCCTACACTGTCAGCGCAACTGCATTAAAAAAAAAAAAAAGTGGCATTTTCATCAGCTTGTACTGTTTGAGGAATTAGAAGTAGCTACACTAGCAGAAAAATAGCACTATCAGAATACCCAGTTCATGCATTTATATATACCATTACTGTACCTCCACTGGAGAACTACAAGCCTAAAAAAAGAACAGAAGCCTCTAATACCATAACTTGTGTCACAACATCAAAATTCTATTAAAAAAATAGAAAAGTTTTCTTTGACCTGCATTACCATTCACTTTTTGTAGCTGCATAAATACTGTTTCATGAAAGTGACAAGTTATTACTGTCATACACACAGAAAGATTTTTCTACCTCATGATATACTTCATATGAAAAATAATTTTATTTCCCCTGAAGAGATAATTTACTATTCTGAAAAGTCTCTTGAACTTTTATATTACAAAAACACTGAGCTGTCTGTCAGCAAAATATATTGAGCATTACTAAAACGAGTAGCAGCAGTCAGAATTTACAATATTATTAAAACCAAGCTTGTGCAACAAGAAACAAAAATACTGTTCCATTTGAATAAGTTTCAAAACCATTACATTATAACATGCATTTTACATATGTTCATTTTTATGACTATGAACCACAGAATCCAACAGAAGTATATAGGAGGGACACAGAAGGCAAAATCCCTTCACATCAATACATCATATTCAAATGTATGACAACAAAACAGGGATATTCTTTCAGCACCACAATAACTGCTTACTTCAATCAGTGATAAGATATTTAAATTCTAGGCCAATTCAGAGTGTTTTCCCAATAGGTGTAGAGCATTTACAAAGTGATCTTTACCAGGTTCTTTCAAAGTTTGGGCATCTCCTACTAATTCTTGATCTTGAGCTCCACCTCCATCCAGTAATTCATCAGACAAACTGTTGGTTTGGGCCTCCGTTGCCATTTTCTTCATTAAATCTGCCTTTGTAACAGATAAAGTGAAACTCAAAATTCTGGGTAATTCTTACTGCTGTCTAGATAATCAAAACATTTAGAGTGTGTACTTCTAAACTGCAACCCCACAAAACTATAGCAAAATACCTCTGAATATACTGCAAGTTTAAGGGGCAAGTCTTCAACTTTCACAAAGTCATCTTCATCAGATTTTTGACTTACATTTCCAGAACCAGCTTCCTGTTAATAAAAATAGTGACATTTAAAAGAATGGTACTACTTTGTTTTATTTTCATTCTAAAGCTAGATTTTTGACTATTATAATAAAGTATATAAAAAAACAATGGCTGTATCAAATTTGCAGATGAAAATTGAACAAGACTGGAAACTAGAAATAACACTGAAATAGAAAAAAAGCTTCTAATTTCTCTTTGATGTATCTTAACTGAAATATACGCACATATTCATTCACTAACACAGGTGACTCGGTATCAGGGCTGCCAGCCATGGAGCTTTCAGAACTTGCAGCAGATTTGCTTCCTACACATGTTGTATCTAGTGTTTGTGTTTCATTTACTGGTAAAGGTGAGCTCGGTTCTTCTGTTTTCATACCAGGTGTTACAAAGGAATCTGGGGTACTGACTGTTAAAGGTGGTGTATTCTCCATGACATTGAGGTAATGAGGCAAGACTGTAGCCACATCTTGTTCACCTAAAACCACAAAACTACATTTTAACTAGGTAGATAGTAAAAGATTCTGGGCATACAAAGATCACAGATTTTTATTTTTTTTTTTTTTTTAACAAATTATGATCCAAAGCTACAAATGAGCAATGAAAGTGAATTATAGTCTCTCAGATCAGCACAAAACTGACTGAAATAAATACGACTCGCACACATACAAGTAGCAGCAATTAACATAAGACATTATGTCTCATGACTTAAAAATTTCCAACTTAATACAGCTTTTTAAAAGAAAAAAAAAAAAGCACCCAAAACAAACAAAAAAAAAAACCAACCCAAACCAACCAACCACCACCAAAAAATTCAAAACAAACAAACAAAAAACCAAACAAACTACCAGAACTATATGACCTACTGGAAAATATTAATTCTGGGTATAAGGAGATATGATACAGAGCAATAAATTCCTTAACATTTTGCCACATTCTTGTACAACACAGATCTACTCAAATACTGCTTTTAGTCTACAAAAAAAGACC